TTAATATTTTATTTATTATTTTTATTTTATGTGTATGAGTGCATTGCCTGCATGTAGGTAAGTGCACCTGTGTCGTGCAATGCCTGTGGAGGACAGACGAGGCCATCGGATCCCCTGGAACTGGAGTTATGGACAGTGGTTAGCTGCCACGTGGGTGCTGGGATTTGAATTTGGGTCTTCTGCAAGAACAGTCAGTGTTCTTAACCACTGAGTCATCTCTCCAGCTATCATGCATGATTTTTATTAGATAATTTACAAACTTCTTTGGAAGCTAGGACAGGAATTATATGACTTCTAGAGGTTTTTCATGCAGTGTGAGCCTGTATCTTTATCATTTTAATTTATATGTGACAACCCTAAACTAAGCACGGTGTAACTTAGTTGGTATAGGGTTACCCAAATACCAACAAGTAGCCTTTACCTTCAAGTTATAAAGCATCCAAAGTCGAGAACACATTCCACACCATTAAAAAGAGCCTCACACCCAACCCAGTGGAGACAGACTAAAGGAAATTACTGTGGATAGCCTGAAGGTACCTAAAGCTCCCCAGCAATGCAACTGCAAGGGTATTTTCTGACAGGTCTCAGAACACTCCTGCTTTCAGTAGTCAGGAAAAGAAAGAGATCATCCTTACCTGTGAACAAGGGGCTGAAGGAGACCGGAGAAAAGGCACTTTGAGTTCTTGTCAACCTGGGTTTCCTAGGGAGTAAGAAAGGGGAGAAATGAATATACATGTGTTTAAATCACTAAAACACTGAATTCCAATGTTCCGAAAAACAAAGCAAACCCCTTATTACAGAAGTGTCAGCAACATTTCCGTAATAAAGCCTAAAATTTCAAGGAGGAGAATGAAATAATTAAGGTGATTCCTTAAATAGATTTGGCTACCGAATTCACCAGTCTACAAAGCAACTGAAATCCCTTTGGATCTTTCCATAGCCAGCACACGAAAAGAGTAAAACACCTTGAGTGGTAATTACTGTCTATTTCACAAGGAAGAAAGTTGTATGCAGAGCCAATTTTCATTTTACAGCCAAGAAAAAGGCTCTAGGCCTGAGCAGACGCCAGAACTGAGCAACAGCATTCACTCTAAGGTCCCAAGTGGAGTTGGGGAGACAGGAACACACTGCAGCCTAAAAAGAGCAAGAGCAGCTCAGGATTCACACTGTCCTCAACCATGAAGACCTCTCTTTCTGCCCCACTGCCCTGCGATGTGGCTGGCCCAAGGCTATAGTTAAAAAGCAGACCTATCACTGGTAAGGGCTCTGCCTGGCACTAAAGTGCCCCTTCCTCTCTCTGAGCTGAGTCACACAGCTCTCCCCATGATTCCTCCTTGATGCTCCTCCAATAACCACCTCTGATTATACACCAAAGGTAACTTTTACAATCTCAAGTACCTTTTACTTTTTACAATCTCAAGTACCTTTTTAGTGAAAAATGAAAGAAACGCAAGATACAATATAGACTTTCCAGGTAGAATGCTGGAAATTGATTACATAAATTTGTCAAAAAAAAAAAAATTCAGTCAGGCTTGGTGGTGCATGTTTTTAATCCCAGCACTCAGGAGGCAGAAGCAGGTAGATCTCTTTGAGTTCAAGCCTACCAAGGACTACATAGTGAGACCCCGTCTCAAAAAAGGGCAAATATCAATGAAACTGGATACCTAAAAACGGTGAATTCTTCAGCATAAAAATTATAGTGCAATAAACTGACTTTTTAAAAAAATCCCAGCCAGGCATGTTGGTGCACGCCTGTAGTCCCAGCACTTGGGAGACAGAAGCAGGCGGATCTCTGAGTTCAAAGCCAGCCTGGTCAACATAGTGAGTTCCAGGACAGCTGGGGCTACAGGGGACCCTGTCTCAAAAAGACCAAAAAAAAAAAAAAAATCCCAACCCAGGTTTGGCACTAGGCATTATTGCTGACTCAACTTCAGAACTACTCTGACCCAAAAGATTGAGTAGAATATAAGATCTTTTAAACTATCAACCACAGCAAAAGAGGAGGGCAAAAGAAAACAAAGATCTAAGATGAAATCCTATTTAAAATTATTTGATTTCAGGATTGAGGGTGTAGTTCAATTGGTAAAGTGCTTGCCTATCATGCACAATGCCCTGAGCTCAATCCCTAACACCACCCTGAAAGCAGAACAAAAACACGTCTTTTGAAATTATTTAATTTTGGCTGGGCGTGACGGCGCATACCTTTAATCCCAGCATTAAGGAGGCAGAGGCAGAGGCAGAGGCAGGCTGATCTCTGTGAGTTCAAGGCCAGCCTGGTCTACATAGTGAGTTCTAGGTCAGCTGGGGCTACAGGGAGACCCTGTCTCAAAAAGAAAAAAGAAAAGAAAAAAATCCCCCCAAAACAAGATACAAACACATATAGTCCCCTGTTCATAGAAGATGCTCATGATTGCAGTTTAGTGTCAACAATCCAAAGGACTAAAATGGAAAGTTAATTCCACTGGACATGAACTTTAAGAGCTGAAGAGCTCTCAAGCTGACTTTTATTTGGTAACTTGTGGGTACAACATTAAACTCAGCAAGCAGAAACTCAAAGCACTGGCCTTTCAAAAGTTCACACCTCAGCCATTTGGCTGTTTGCCTCTTTTCAAAGGAAACTGCATTACTCCGCCATCTGCCCATGCTGGGGACGAGTCTCTTCAGTGCCAAGCACTGAAGAATGGCGGTTCCCAAATGCACACATCTTGCGGAGGCCTTCTCACTTCAGCTCATCTTCTCCCCCGCCCCCGACATTTTGAAGAAGAAAAATCATAGTTTCTAGGATCTAGAAAAAGAAAAACATCTGAATCTAAACCCAGGCAGAATCATCTGAGAGTGCCAAGATGGTTTTTTCTGGCAAAGACAGGTGCTTTGTGGCTAGAAACAGAGATAAAAGGTCTAAAAGGCTGAAAGGCCAATCTAAATGACTAAAAAACAAATCAAGGAAATGATTAACATACAATTGACGATGACAGTTACCTAGGGGAGGGACAAATATGATCAGGAAAGCAAGACTCTAGTCTTCTAAAGTACTGATAATACTGTCCATGTCTGCTGAACTTAATGATGAGTACCTGGGTCTGCATTTATTACATGAGTACACTTATTTTCTATATCCTCATTTGTATATAGGAAATATCTGGGATGATAAAAGCCCATTTCTAAGCTGATAAGCTGCAGGACAACATTAATGATACCAGATAAACTGCTCTTTTTTTAATACTTTTTATTATTTTTATTTTACATATATGAGTGTATTCCCTGCATGTGTACAAGCGTACCTGTGTTGTGCAGTGCCTGTGGATGTCAGAAGAGGGTGTTGGATCCCTTGGAACTGGAGTTACAGATGGTTGTTAGCTACCATGTGGGAGCTGGGAATCAAGAGCAGCCAAATGCCACTGAGGCATCTCTCCAGACCCTAAACTTTGCTTTTTGAGACAGGCTCACATATATCCCAAGTTGGTCTTGAATCTGACATATAGCTGAGGATGACCTTTGAACTTCATCCTCCTGCCTCCACCTCCTCAGTGCTGGGGTTACATGTATGTACCAGCATACCCTATTTATGTATAAACTAGGCACCATCCTAGTTTATGCAATGCTGGGGAACAAACCCAGGGCTTCATGCATGCTAGGTAAGCACTCTACCAACTGAACTACATACAACCCCAGCCCTCCAAATAAGCATTTTTGTTTTGTTCTTATTTTATTTTATTTTTCGGTCTTTTTGAGACAGGGTCTCCCTGAGGCCCAGTTGGCAAGGAACTCACTATGTAGACCAGGCTGGCCTCGAACTCACAGAGATCCACCTGCCTCTGCCTCCCAAGTGTGCCACCATACCCGGCCCAAATAAGCCTTTTGTATCAACCGTCTATACTACATTCCAGGTTATTTATCTCCCCAGATCACCTTGAAAAGCACTGGGGTACAAAATTAAACCATTTTTCACTTTGCCAATGGGTCACTTGCATCTTAGAACAGAAACATTCAAGAGGTAGGCTAAGATGTGGAAAGATTTGTTGGGCTATGACTCAAGTGACAGGACAGGGACAGGAGGCCCTAGGCTAAGGTCTTCTTTAGGGCATGCAGTCCTTTGAGTCAGGTACATCAGTGTCTGAGTTGTAGGCAATGAAGACAATGCCTGTATTCATTTCTATTCTACAAAATTATCCACACTGCAACAGATTAATGAGATAAAAGGAATGGGAAGCGCTAGACTAAACAGGACAATAACATAGATATAACCATTGGCTGGTTCACAAATTCCTTGCAACCTAAAATACAATGAAATAGGAATGCCTCACATTTTTATTCATAAATTCCCTTTACTGATGCCCAAAAACCTGCCAGTATCCTTTCCTAAAGCACCTTCCACACTAGGATGCCTAAATACTAGATTTTGTAGACCCACTACACCTCTGGCCCTGCTAAAGCACACAGTGCCAAGTCAGGCAGCCTGTGCCATTTCCAACACATCATAAGCTAGTGTCTGTTCATGTGCTACAGGCACAAAAACCATGTGTTCATTTTTAGTTCCAATACACAGACATCTGTGCAGCAAGGTCAGATCCAAAACTCTATCAAAAACCAACTAAAGAACCTATGGTGGGCACTTCTAGGGAAAAGCCAAGAGGCATAGTCTAATGCCTAAAACCCCAGGAATGATGTTGGCAAGGAGAAATATTAAGGAGTTAAAGACATAAGACTCAAACAGAAATTTCTAAAGCCCAGGAACTTATTCTAAGAGAGCTGCCAACCACAAGCACTTTGTGAAAAGATAGTTTAAAAGGTCAAGAGTATGGACTCCCAAACTCAAACACAATAAGAACTTTCTCACTATACCATAAAATCATTTTGCTCTCAGTATACCACACTATGACTCAAAAAAGATCCCTTTGAGCCTGGCTGGTGTGGTGACACATGCCTGTGATCCAAGTACTTGGGAAGTGGAAGCAAGAGGATCAGGAATGCAAGACCAACCTTGGGTACATAGTGAGTTTGAAGCCAGCTGGGCTATGTGAGACCAAGCATAATGGTGCATGCTTATAATACCAGTACTTGGGAGACTAAGGCAGGAAGATGAGTTCAAATTGCAGGCTAGGCTTGGCATTCAAGGCCTGCTTGGGCTGCATTGTGAGAACAAAACTCAAAAACCAAAAACAGGGCCTAGAGAGATGGGTCAACAATTAAGAGTACTTGCTGCTCTTCCTGAGGACCAGGATTTGATTCTCATCACTCAAGTCAGGTAGCTCAAAACCATCTGTCTGTAACTCCAGCTCCAGAAGATTCAATGCCGTTTTATGGCCTCTGCAGGTACCCACACAAATAGGCACATACCCATACATACATATTTAAAAAATGTCTTAAACAAAACAACACACACACACACACCCTTCAGACCATAAGACCTAAAGAACCCAAAGAAACAGTAAGAAAAAGTTTAAACTATTTGCCAGGTCTGTCATAACTGCAGGGCCTCAAACTCATACAGTTGGCAGTCTCTCTATCCAGAACCATGTCCATCCTCTTTACAAAAATCATTACAGAACTCTCCATTTCTCCACTGCACAATCATGAAGACTGCCAGGAATAGCCTCAACTGCTAACTCAGGAAACAAATCTTGCAAAGAGAACAAGATACCTACTCTCGACTCAGTGTGTATTATCACTCAAAAAGGGCAGATCAAATTCTATTTTTCACCAAATCTAAAGGAAAACAATCAGCTCAACATATGTGAAACAGACAAGGGAACTCCACTGGTTTTCCTGAAATAGCAAAGTTCTATATTACACCAAGGCCCACAGGCAAGAAGCCCAGCTCTCTGAATTCTGACATATGTGTGGTATAGGCTTAGCCTAGTTCCCAAGAACAGAAACCTTATTAGTTGGCAGGCTCACTTCTCGTTTCACTTTAAAAAGCATTTGCTAAGTTAACTCATCTTATTCTTTTTGTTTTTTTCAAAATTTATATATTTTGGAGTGGGGTCAAGGAGAGTGGAGTGGACACAGCAGGCATGTGGAAGTTGCAAGAGTTGGTTCTCTCCTTTCACCATGTGGGCCCTGAGGAACAAATCAAAGTCAGGTCACTAGCCTTGGTGGCAGGACCTTTACCCACTCAGCTATGTTGCTGGCCCCCACACTACTCTTTTTGTAAAAAAAAAAAAAAAAAAGAAGAGATTTATTTTTTACTTTCATTTGTGTGTATGTGTACGCTGGCTGAGGCCAGAAGAGGGGGTCAGATCACCTGGAGCTAGAATTACAAACAGCTATGAGCTGCCCAATGTGGGTGCTGAAAATCAAACTCCAATCCTCTGCAAGAGCAACAAGAGCTTTTAACTTGTGAGCCATCTTTCCAGCTCTGCCCCATACTACTCTTAAGACTCAGAATATCTGGTCAGGTACACTTAAATGTATCGAGAAAGCATCTTGAAAGGAAGTCCAGTTAAGTTAAAACATGGGACCTGGGGCTGGAGAGATGGCTCAGCAGTTAAAAGCACTGACTGCTCTTGCAGAGGACCCAAATTTGACTCCCAGCACCCACATAGCAGCTACGAACCATCCTTAACTCCAGTTCCAGGGAAATCTGAAGCCCTCTTCTGACCGCTGCAGCACTGCATGACACGGGTGCATTCACATACATGCAGGCAATAAATAAACTCATACACATAAAATAAAAATATTTAAAAAAAAACATGGGAACTGCTAAAAATGATGCTGAGAAGCATTTTTTCTAGTCAACAGCTTCAGGAAAGGTAGATTGGAAAGGTAGATATTGAGAAGAGTAAAGAGAATTATGCCTAGAGGTTATTGTAAATGCCCCAAATTACATAGCAAAGACAGCAGAGGCCCATAATTAACTCCAACCCACAATGAGAGGGAAGCCCCAGAACTTTGGCAAAGGACTGAAATGTCTCACTGCTTAAGGTACTACCAATTAAAACAAGGACAAGCTAAATGTCTCACTGCTTAAGGTACTACCAATTAAAACAAGGACAAGCTAAATCCAAACGCATTCTTCTTCCCAACAGGGAGGGCTTGCTTAGGAGATACAGAGCCACAGAAATCACAACTACCCTAGCCAGACTTACCAAGGTTCTCACAGCTTCAAGACTGCCAGCAAGACTGGCACGTAAGCGTGGAAAAGCTTGCAAGCGGCACCAAAGCTTAGCATGGAAAAATTTACCGACTTAATCTTACTATTTCTCTTCCAAGGAGCACAAAATATTCCATCCAGATTCCTCCTGTCTTCCTTCTATTCTAATAAGGACACGAACAAGATAATCACCACTCTCCCATTTTACAGATGAAGGATGAAGATGACAAATCTGTCCTCCATCTCACAGCTAATGTTGGAGTTCCAAATGGAATTCAGACTTTCATAGTTCTCTATACAACATGTTGCCTCAAATAGCAGTCAACCAAATGTTTATACACAAATACCTAGCTCTTCTCCAATTCATCAGAAAAAGCTCTTGGACCAAGAAATATAATTCTCCAGTGCCCTGAACTAAGCTTCTCTGCAGAGGCATAGCCCAATTGGTATTGTGTTTAGTGTGAGGGCTGGGTGGCAGAGCAACCAATGACCATTAAATTTTGCTTCCAAAGGCAAAAAAAACCATATAATGTTATATGCCTATCCTCTTCCTAATCTATTAAACGGAGCAGCTAATTTCACGCCACACCTGCAGTCTCTGGAATTAAATCCTGGTCAATATGGAACAAAGGCAAGACAAACCACAAGAAATTATCACTCTATTCTATGTCATTACCCACAGCTTCAATCCTGTCCTCCACCCCAAGCTGATGAAAATTTCATCTGTATTGGCAAGTGGCACATCAAACACAGAACCTTCTACACACATATACAATGAACAAAACAAAAAAACCTGTTTCACAGCCACACACTTTTCAAGACCTGAGTTCCCAGCAGGAGATCACCAGGAGTAGACAGATACATAAACCTACATAAAGGGACTACATACTGGGGGTAAACAATTGGGAACTTGGGCTTGGCACATGGCACTGCTGTTCAGAAAGGGTGACAGGGCCAAACTGAGCCCACACTTTCCACTTGGGAGTACCCAAGTTCCCTTGAGAAATCCACATCCACAAATGAGTAGTTTGACATCCAGGATCAAATGGAGCTTTTAAAAACTCATATTCTTAGGTCTCAGACATACTTATCTTCCCCAAAACTCTGAAAGACTGCTGGGTGTGGTCACACATACCTTTAATCACAGCAAGAGAGGCAGAGGCAAATGGATCTCTGTGAGTTCAAGGCCAGCCTGATCTAGTTCGAGGTCAGCCAGGGCTCCATAGTGAGACCCTGTCTCAAAAAACAACAAAACCACTCAAGAGTCTAGTGCACAGCAAAGTTATCAATTCATCTGCTTTTGGTTTGTATTGGCCAGTATGTTTCAGGAACCCATGACACCAACCACACCATGACCAATTCCTGTCAGACATGGTGGCAACGGGCATATAATCCTGATACTCAGGAGGACAAAAGGAAAATCAAGAGACCAGCCTGGCTACAAAGTGAGTTCAAACCCAGACTGGTTAACATAATGAAACCCTGTCTTAAAAAACAAAGAAACAAAACAAAACACCCATCCCTAATGCTAGTCTTCCTAAGACCCATTCAGAACTATAATCTACAATCACAGCTCATTTCATCCACACAAAGGTGACAGCTTTCTAAACTGACATTATAGGACTACAGTCAGATGTCAAAAAGCAATCCACCCTTTACAAATTCAGGGGGGGAAAACTCAATGTCTAAGTTTGGAATTTTCATAAATTGACCCATAACTCTTGTACCAATGTTTATACCTCACTGAGAATTCTCACATGAGTGAGGGAGAAAATGCAAAAGGGAACACAAGGGAACACAAAGCTTTCCTGAGTGTGGTCAGCACACAGGGTGGAGATAGCAAACATCTTTAGCCAGAACATTAAGAAGATGCCCAACTGACTGCTGGCTGAGTTCTTCAGGTCTTTTGCATGTGTGAAGAGAGTGGGGGCAGGCACCCAGAGAGAACAATAATCAAGGTGGTCAAGATAATAATAAGCAGATGACTGACACCAGCTTTTTGCCCCCAAGGCTAAGCATTTCCAGCAACTTCCCTGCAGGGTTAGTAAAGGTAGACAAGACTTCTGGGGGCAGACGGAGACCTAAAAAGTGGGGCCAGGACAGAGGTGGCAGGTAGGGGAGGGCCAGCAAGAGATGCTAACCCACTGACAACTGTCACCAAGTGCTAACTCTCCCACAGTGAAAGCTGTTTCCACAATTAGGTCTGATCTAATGCGAGATGTCACCACCTTTAGCCCCAAGTCTGCCTCCTCCTGAAGTCCACAGCTTGAGAACTGCCAGGATTGTGTTAGCAGGGGAAAAAAGGGGGGGAGGATTAAAGTTTGTCGCCTGCCCCCCAACCGATCTCACCTCCCCGCATCCAGCTCTCGGGCCGCAGAGCCTCCCATGTCCGTCAGGCTCGCAGCTGAAGCAACTAGATCTCCAGAAGGCCTCTTGCCGGTCCCATGCCCACCTCCCGAGCCACCGTTGCAGCTCTTCGTGCGAAACAGGCGACTGAGGCGGATTTTGAAGGAGCCCTTCCGAGACGGGCCAGCAAGGGGCCGGAGGGGCCCGGGAGGCGGCGGCGGGGGAGGAGGCTGCTGCTGCTCCCCTCGACTCAGGCGCCCAGGGGGGACCAAGTCCTGCAACGGGAAGGGCACCGGAGGCAGTTCGGGACCCGGGGGCTGCAGCACAAGCCGGCCACCCCCTCCTGGCCCCCGACCCGGGCTGCTGAGGTCCTCTTCTGAGCAGCTGTTAGTCTCCAGGCTCTCGGCCTCCGATTCCAAGCCTTCCAGGACCAGCAGCGCGTCGCTCGTTTCCGTGGGGTCCTCCCCGGCCTGCGGGGCGGCAGCAAGCGGCTGGGGCTGCTGCGGCGGGGGCGGCTGCGGGGGACACGGGCAGGGGCAGCAGCCCGCCCCGGCCGCCTTCACTCCCGGCCCCGCCGACTGCGCTAGCCCCAGCGCCGCCAGCTGCGCCTCTAGTCCAGCCACCGGCCCCCAGGTCCGCTCGAGAGCCAGGCCAGGCGGCAGGGCCTTGGGGTCCAGCGCACAGCGGTGCCGGGAACACAGCAGTTCCGAGGCTCCCGACTGCGGAGCCGCCTCCACGTCCTCCTCCTCCGGCGGCCGACCCACGTTGCGGAACACCATCAGCTGCGGCGGCCGGGAGCCTCGCGGGCCTGGCCGCGCCAGGAAGGATGGCGGCGGCTGCTGGCAATGGCCCGGGGGCGGCGGCGGCGGCGGCGGCGGGCCTGACTCGGGGGCCGCGTCTCCATAGCCGAGGAGGCGGCTCAAGACTCGGTATGAAGCGGCCGCCGCCGCCTCGCCATCCCGCAGCTCGGCCCCCTGCATCGAAGAGACTGAGGGAGGGCGGGCGGCTGTGAGCCGGGCTGGGGTGGGGTCTAGGCCGGGCCCAGCCGGAGCCCCGCCCGCCGCGGCCCCCCGAGCGACAGCGCTAAAGGCCGCCGCGGCCTCTGCCTCCTAGGGGGCGGGGGGCGCGCGGAGCCCAGCGCGAGCCCAGGCCGCGCGCCGCCGCCGAGGACCGCCCCTCACGTCACTTCCGGGAGGCGCGTCACGCCCCTTTCCCTAGGGTACGCAGCGTAGGCCTACATTGCGCCTGACGTTGCTCTCGCCCCTGGCGGCTATTGGCCGTCTGGGGGTTCTCCGCCCGCTTTGGTCCCCTGCACCGATCCACGCTTTTTCTCTTGCCGGGTGCCCAGGCTCTAGCCATCCTTCTCGGTGAAGTGGGCAGGACTTGGAACCCAGGTGTGGACCTGGGAGAGGGGTCGCTGGCCTTGTCACGGTCTGTGGTTCTTGTCCCATCCATGCTGCCTGCGATGTGTGACCTTGTCTGAGTCATTTGGTTAATGGGTATTCCCCTCCTCCCGGTATCCAATGACTTACGGGATGACTACAAGAAAATGTGTTCTAGGGGCTGGAGAGATGGGTAAGTAGTTAAGAGCACTGGCTACTCTTGCAGAAGAGCCAGGTTTAGTTCCCAGCACCCACATGGTGGCTAACAACCGTCCAAAACTCCAGTTTCAGGAGCTCCGAAGCCCTCTTCTGATCTCCACAGGCCTTGCGCCACGTGGGGGCACTTATATACGTGCAGACAATACACTCACACAAAAAATATTTTTTAAAAAGAACAAAGAAAATGTGTTCTAGATTCAGAAGTAAGTTTTTAAAAACTGGCTCTTTGGGGGAAGAAAGGGAATGTGTATGTGCGTATATAGAATTACATAAATTTATAAATTTGACTATAAAAAATGTGTGGTACACAATTTCGAAGTAATAAGAATATGCAATAGCCAATTCCATATAATTCTTACAGAATGTTTCTGATTTGTGCCTTAGTGTGTGTGTGTGTGTGAGAGAGAGAGAGAGAGGGAGATGCTGGGGATTAAATTCAAGTATGACTGACACATGCTGAGTATTAATTCAACCTTTGGACTACATACCCAATCCTTGCCAAACTTACCTGGGTAGCCAAACTAGTTACAAGTGAGGAAGGAGTGTAATTGTAACAAGAATTTTGATTGATATTTTCCTCTGTTTAATGCAAGAGCGCAGTGAAAAAGGCAAAGAGCAATGATCGTATTGTCAATGACTAGGATAACTTCTTTGCCAAATCAGAATCCGTTTCTATTACTGGAGGAGTATTTCTTCAATTGTCATGTTATTCATAATTTACTAGCTACAGAGGTCCAGGAGATGTAAATTTAAATTACTATCATATTCTCCATCACTCTAAAAAAAATTATGTATCCCAGGCATGGTGGTGCACACCTTTATTCCCAGCACACAAGAAACAGAGGCAGGAGGATCTCTGTGAGATAAAGGCCAGCCTGTTCCAGGTCAGCTGGGACTACAGGGAGACACTATCTCAAAAGAAAAAAAGGAAAAAAAAATAAGGCAAAAGAAAAAGGGGGCTAAAGGGATGGCTTAGTAGTTAAGAGCACTGGCTACTCTTGTACAAGACTCAGATTCAGTTCCCAGTACCCACATGACAGCTAACAACCATCAACAACTCCAGTTCCTGGGGA